GCACACGGGGAGCAGCCGACGCGCGGCTCCGCCTTCCAGCCCCATGGCCCCTGAGCCGCAGGCCGCGGCGCTGCGCAGCGCCGGCAACGAGCAGTTCCGCAGCGGGCAGTACGGGCAGGCGGCCGCGCTCTACAGCCGCGCGCTGGCGCTGCTCGAGGCAGCAGGTAGGGGCGAAAGGAGGGCCCGGCTCGCCCTCCGCCTCCCTCCGAGGGACCCCTCCGCGGGGCTGTGAGCCTCCCCAGCGCCGCGGTGAAGTAGCCTCCTCCTCCCCGCCCGTTCCTGCGGGATGCGGCCCCCTGGCCCGTCCATCCTCCCGGGGCGCCCCAGGGCGGGGCGCGGCAGAGCTGCTACAGCAGGGCCCCTCGCAGCAGCGCGGCTCTGTCGACTCCTCCCCGCCTTCGGTGGCCCAGTTTAAAAATAGTGCCGCGTGGTGGAGGGCAGCCAGCGGGTGATCTGCTCCCATAACTGCTGAGGTAACGCGCGTTTGGCCGGTTGGACCCGCCGGGAGCAGCAGCCCCCTTGCCACAGAGCTGGTTGTTGCCTTATATGCACAGTCCAGGCTCCTCGGCCTCTTGTCGGCTCAGATCAAGCGCAGTCCTACGCTTGCCTGGCAGGGGAAATACCATGATCACTAGGCCTGTGCAAAGTGGCTGGTGTTCGCTTCGGATTTGGCTGATTTGGGGGACAGTGATTCGATTGGTTGTTTTGAATCACTGTCCCGATTCGATTCGGCCAAATCTGATTCAGAGATTCGGCAGCAGCCAAATCTCCAAATCAGCCAGGCAGAGCTCATCGCCCACCGCTGTCCCAGGCGGCAATGGCTGCCCTAGCTCCCAGCACTGGTAAAAATAAATGAATAAACAAAAAGCCCTGGATCACCAGGTGTTGCCGGGTGGGGGGTGATCCCTGCTGCCCCGCACTGCATGGGGGGTCTCTGCATGCCCCCCGACCGTCCCCCCTCGCTCCCCCAGCCCCCCACCATGTGTGCACTGCATGGACCAGCTCTGGCCCTTTAAGGAAAAAAAAATGGAAAAAACCCTGAGATTCCTGCTCCTGCTGGCAGGGGGTGATCCCCACACCACCTGGGGGGGTTCTGCATGAGACCCCCAAGGTTGCTGCAGGAACAGTGAGTCTCTGGGGCTTTTCTCCGTTTTTGTTTTGTTTTTTTTAAAGGGCTGGAGCTGGCCCAGGTGGGGCATCTGTGGGGGGGGTTGGGTGGCTTGTGCGGAATCCCCCCCCATGTGGCATAGGGCAGTGGGGGGCAGCAGGTTTGGACCCCCTGCTCCGGAGCACCCAGTGAGCACTGGGGCTTTTTTTTTTTGTTTTTTTAAGTACTGGGCACTGGGGTGGGCAGGAGTAGCCATGGGGAGAGTAGGGGGGCTGGCAGGAATCCCCCCCATGATCCCCTCCCTCAGCCTCCCTGCCCCTAGTACTTCCCAGTTTGGAGTCAACTGCAGCTCCCTGCTGCAGCCACTGGGGACTGCCCAAATCATCAAAGCTTTCCAAATCTTTTCCGAAGATTCAGAGAGCTTTGAATCAATTCAGACCTTTAAATTGTTGCCCTGATTTGATTCGAATTCTGAGATTCGGCCGCTGAATCGGGTCAAATCTCCGAATTGAATCACCACCCGAAGCTTCACACAGCCCTAATGATCACCATGGTGGCTTCCTAGTTGCACCTGGGGAAGACTGCTCTGCTAGCATGGAATAGTACCTGCATAGGTAATGCATAGTTAACCCTGGCTTTATGCCCACTTTATGGAAATGGGAGACTCCTCCCTAGCTTGCTCCTGGGGCCTTATGGCTAAGGGCAAGCAAAACTTGGGGGCATCCAAACTCTGTGCTTGGGTCTGCAAGTAGGATGCCCACCAAAGGATTTGGGAACATCTGAAGCCTCAGATGGGGGTGGAGGATGTTTGCCAGTAGTAAGGCCACATATGGTTCTGGGCTGACTCTTGGATTTGGAATTTGTTTTGGCAAATTTGGCTTGGAATTATAAAAATTATAAAAAAATTTAGAAAATTATAATAATAATAAAAAAAAAAAAAAGCACAATCCAGCCGTGGCCCCACAGCACAATGTAAATCCAGATGTGGCTGCCAAGGTCCGAAACTGGTTCCATCATAAAGTTGCTAGGGGCTTTTCTTTTTAAATCTTCTGCAGGCTCAGGTGTTCTGTTGCTGAGTGCTGTCACTACCAGCTGCAGCAATGGAAAAGACAGAATTATGAACCAGGAAACTAGAGACTGGGATCTTCTGAACTCTTAAGCCTAGATCTGATCCACATCGAGATGATCATTGTTTGCTTCTTTGAGGAGACTGACAATTAAGTACCTGATGCTTTGAAGATGAAAGATGAGCTTTACTGCTGGTACTGATCAGTTACTTTAGCAGTTAAGCTTCCAAATGGCTCTCTTGAGCCATACTTCAGCATCTGTGAGATCCATCTTATTTTTAGTACCCCTTTGCTGTTGTAAGTAGAAACAGCTAATACAGGAATTGGCCATAGCATGCACTGAATGTATTGTCCCACATTTCCCACCTTGAATTTATCTTCTGTTTTTGTTTCTGCTCCTAGAGGAGAAGGATGCTGAGGAAATGAGTGTCCTCCATTCAAATCGAGCTGCCTGCTATCTGAAGGATGGGAATTGTAGCCTCTGTGTTAAGGACTGTACTGTGTAAGTAGCTGTTACCCAGTTAAAAACCTAAACTGTGTTTTTGTTGTGAATGAAATAAGATAGTGTGGTTACTGACTGGGCCCTTCATTTAAGACTATTTGGACGAAGAGTTAAGCACCTTTAGGGAACCACATAGCAGCCTCCATTCCCAAACACTGGCATTGGTCAACCACCCATAGCAAAACACATATGGGCCAAGGATTTTGTCTGGCCTTTTGTAGTTGTTGTCATTTAAACGGGGAGGAGAAGATGTCATGTTCATTTGCTTGAGTAGGCCTCTCTTCCTTGCTAATCATGCATACGTTACTTTTATTTTTTAATTTTTGAATACTGTTGAATTGTCCTTCCATTCCCTACTCACTGCTGCAGGGTGATTCCCTACCTAAACCTTTCCATAGCTCTACATCTTTAGTTGTTCTGCAGCACAGCTGAACTGCAGCCTGTGTCCATAGCTCCTGTCCCAGCATACTTATCTGCTCTTGGTTTTGTTTATTCTGAGAAAAAAGTGACTGTCACTGGGAGATGGAATTAATATCTTTCTTCCTTTGTCCCCTGGCTACAACTGCACACCTGAGAGATGCAGAAGTTCCCCACTTACTCCTGCAGGATCGTTCCCTGCCAAGCAAATATTTCTAAGGTGCAATTCTGTACTTTCAAGACTGTGCCTTTAAAACTTAGTCATGAAAAGCTGATACTTGACAAACCCCCAGTCCATCAAGCGCACCAACCTTCTCCTCTCTGCTGGACTTAACTCAGGTGGCCCAGTGACCTCTCTTGCTTCCTCCCCTGATACAGAGCACTGGACCTTGTTCCTTTTGGAATCAAACCTCTGTTGAGGCGGGCAGCAGCCTATGAGGCTCTTGAGAGATACCAGCTAGCCTATGTGGACTACAAGACTGTATTGCAGATTGACTGCACTGTACAGGCTGCACATGATGGTGTCAACAGGTAACTTGTAAGTTTATACTGTTACACAATCCAAAATGGAGGCTTGACAATACAGGCAGCAGCCTGGGTCACTCACAGCCCTGCTTTTAGGATGGTTGCCCATGGACAGGTTGGGTGACTTTGGGTCCTGGTTAAATAGCAGAAACCCATTCATCTTCTACCCCTACGCTGTGAATTCTTTAGTGTTATTTGCTGTCAGCCCTGCAGCTCTCTGTGCCGTTTATGCTACTTTCCTCTAGATGGCAAGTGATACACTTGACTGTTCACACTTTCAAGCATTTTGCACACTGTTTATTCTTGAGCAGCTAATGAATGATAAGTGGTCATGATTCAATATGTGCCCCCTCCCCATTCTACTAGGATAAATATGAGTAAATATGACTGCAGTAGGCTTGACTCAACAGGTTCCATGGTTAATGACAGGTACCTAAACCTTTCCACAGCTCTACATCTTCATTTGTTCTTCAGTACACTCCACAACCCCAATCCCAGCATATGTTCCTGCTTTTGGTTTTGTTTCTGCTGAGAAAAAAAAGTCCTTTTTCTGAAATCTGGTTAGTAGGAAGAGCCTCTCTCAGCTTTGCATAAGGGGGCGGATGTGAGATGTGGGGACAAATTCCACAGTACTTAAGTTGCCAAAAGAGGCCCTGAACAAGGAGAATGAGAAGATTCTGTAAAACAAACTTCTCTCTGTAAGCATCTTGTGAAATGTGAAGGAGGGAATAGGGTTAGATTAGAAATTGTTCCAGTCAAGCAGTCTTATTAAGCATCCTTTCTGAATGGCAGGTACAGATGTCCTGTACTTACTTCCCTATCTCGTTCTTCTCATGAAGATACATAGCCTCATGATTCAAGAATAGGGCAATGGGAGATCTGGGTTCCAGTCCTGTTCCTGACTTGGTTTGTGACCTTGGACAAGACACCTAACTCCTTGATTTTTTCCCATATGTAAAATGATGTTTCTCATGTGCTCAGCAACAGCACTTGGATACATCAGTGTGTTCTGTCCATAGATCACTTTGTTGTAGGACAGAGTTCTTTGGGAGAAGTCAGGCTTCCCTGGAATGACTTGGGTATCAGCTCTCTAGTTGTGCTGACTCCTGTAGTAGCAGGCATGACTGCATACTTAATTAAATGTTTGAACTACTCAAATGGCAGGCACTAAAAAGAAGCAACTCTATTAAAAACCCATTCTTCCAGCTGAATCTCACACATGGGGCTGGATGCACAGCAGTGCTAGTAACTGTTTGTAAGTGGTTAGTTAAAAGGCCTGCTGGTAGACTACAGGCCTGTTCTCAGTAGAGTTAGTAGCTGCACAATCTGTATCTGTTTGCAGAATGACAAAAGCTCTATTGGAGAAGGATGGCCCTGAGTGGCGCCAGAAGCTCCCACGAATCCCTTCAGTTCCTGTTTCTGCTCAGAGAAGATGGGACTTTCCTCGTGCAGAAAGCCAAAAGGCTGCCCTGAGAACCAAACTAAATGAGACTGCACCTGTAGGAAAAGAGGGTGAGCACTTTGCCGTTCAGATGGCCACCAGAGTTGTGATGCCAAGAGGAGACAATACACAGATGGGGTCTGTCCAGGGCTCACTTGACCCTAGGATGGAGTTCTGTGAGAGGAATCAGGTTTCCTACAGTGCCTTACTTTGTTGTACTTAATGGTGAAGTTAATTAATGATGCTGATTCCTGTAGTAATAAATGAGACTGCCAAGCTCTTTATTTCACATAGTACTGTGTTCTCTTCAACACAACTTCCAGTGCCTACAGCTGCTGCCACTGAAAGAGCAAAAACTTTGAAGGAAGAAGGAAATGAACTTGTGCGGAAAGGAAACCATAAGAAAGCTATTGAAAAGTACAGAGAGAGTCTCAGACTAAACCAGGAATCTTCTACTTATACCAACAGGTAACATTCAAGCAGAACAATGGACCTTTGCCCTTTGGGGTGCATCCTAAAGCTATCATCATAACTCTTAATCAGCTAGGGCCAAATCCTGTTATCAGATGCTCAACCAGCCTGTTTAAATGAATGGAAACAGCATGTTTTTAACATATGACCAGACTAGACAGGGTTCTGCATGTTTGAGAGAGAGAGGACAGATGCATTTTCTTTTTGTAAGAGACTAGTTTTTTAGATGAAGGTCCCTTTCTTTTTCAAAGTGGCCATGTGGAGCCCATGTGGAAATTCTTGACTTGAAACCATTAGGGGTTTTTTCCTTTTAACCGTTTATCAGCTAAGAACACCCTGTTCTGATGATGTCTGGTGCCCTGCTGACTACAAATAACTGCACAGACATATCTAAGACCTTTACCACATGTGGGACACTGAAGACAGTTGCAGTGTACAGAGAATCTGTCAGGAGAATACACATAGAAAACTATAATTTTAGGACTTCTTAAAGCTAGGAATCGTAAGCTATCCTTGGAAAAAAATATTAATTTATTGTTGTTAAGAGAATATATTTTTCTCCCTCTTTAACCAAAGCATATTTTAAACTTGAGAGTAAGATCCCTCCACTTTTTAGTATCTCTTTCCCTATATTAGTTTTATTAAAAGGCAGTTTCTGATTAGGTGAGGGCAAGATGGGGGTCTTTTGATGGGTGTATGCACTGCAGAGAGACAGATGGCATTCCTAACCTTATCCTGAAAGTGCCTGCTAATCTTTGTGTAGTCAAGGTCACCTTTCTCTAGCAACTCTTTCCAAGAAAGAAGCCTGATTACAATTGATTGTAAGTGCCCAAATAGGAATTGTTGCACGTGGATCCAGACCTCTAACCTCCGTTATCTGTTATCTGTCCAGAGCTCTTTGTTACCTGTCTCTGAAGCAATACAAGGAAACAATCCAAGACTGCACAGAAGCTCTGAAGTTAGATGCTAGGAATATTAAAGCATTCTACAGACGTGCTCAGGCATTTAAGGAACTAAAGGTAACTATATTAATAGAGCTTGGTACTATTTTTAGGGTAAGAACAAATACCTAGTCATGTTCAAGCAGAAAACTGAGTTTTGACTCTATAACAGTAGAAGTAAAACTAAAGATTTTTATCTGTGGAATAATAATTCTGCTACCTGATTAGACTAAGCTTTGGTATGTGGTAAGGGGACAACTACTCATTTCACTGGCTGCTGCTTGGATGTTTTCATTAGCTTCAGACCTTTCGACATCCTCAGTTGCTTGGTAAGTGTCTGGAAATACCAAGGTACAGGTTGATTGGATTACTGAAGATGACTGTAGTTATGACACCCAGCTAACTGTTGTGGGATTTATAATATGCTTAATGCCACTTTATAGGAGCTGCTGTAACTGAAATTCTGCAACATTAGAACATCTGAAACCAGAGGAAGGCTAATGCAGTTGTTTCACATCCACCTAAGCTACTAAAGTGATTGCCTTTTTACTCCCTAGTTTAAGTATGTCAAAAAACATTCCATCAACCCCTTAGGATAAGTACATGTGAATTAACATGGGCTGTAACAGGTCCGGTTGAATGGCTTTTGCCCAGTAGAGGCAATGACTTTACCACTAAAGGCTCTTCAGTGTGTGAGCCTTAAAGGTCTACAGACATGCCTGTTTTTTCAATGCAATTTTGTTTTGCTCCTAGGATTACAAGTCAAGTATTGCTGATGTTAGCAGCCTTCTGAAAATTGAACCAAAGAACACAGCTGCACAGAAGCTACTGAAAGAACTGAACAGAGTTTAATATAACACAGGAAGTATAGAATTAGTCTGTTTTATGCTGCAGAAGATGGGCTTTCCTTTTAATAGTTACAGGGACCAATCTTAATGCAGGAGTAGCACTGAAAGACGCCCCTAAGACTTGCTGAGGATCAACTGGTTCTCTGCCACTTGGTTAAATGTATATTGGAAGATGCATACTATCTATGCCAAAACAGATTATTTCCCTGTAAGATCATTAGTTTTAAATGACCCTCTCTCTCTGAGAGTTGCAGGCTACTTTCCTAAACCTAGGATATTTCCTCATAATCTAAGTTAGTCTGCAAAGAGTCTTGTAGGGCTGTTGCTTCTCTTGCTTTTACCAGAGTGGGGGATATTTTCAATAGCTGTAAGATGAGTTTTGTCAATACACACTCATAGGCTGGAGAGAAACAGGTGATACAGAGCTGCTATGCTTACTGCCTCTGGTTGTTTCAGCAAGCCACCTGGAAGGGTTGACAGTAGAGGAACAAAAGGCAGGGCCTCCTCAGCAGGCAGCAGACTTATTACAATTATCCTGACACCTGATTACCACTAAAGTTGCATCTGGTGCATTTCCTGGCTTAGGTGATGCCTGCTGGCCTCTACTTAAACTTGTGCTGTTTGCAGCAACTCATGGCATTTACCTCATAAAGCAGCCATCAAGCACTGCAATAGCCTTGTTGCTGTATTTGTGGGCTGTCTTCAATGCACTGCTCAAGTTTGGATTTTAGCTGCTACTTTGAGGTTTCACAACTTCTTCCTCTCTAAAGTTTAGCTTGTTTTGTGCCTTTCTGACCAGCTGCTATTAAGAATTTGACAGGGAAGAGGGGTACAGGAGTATCCTATATGAGGCCTGTACTGTAAAAAATCTACCTTGCAGCTTCCAACCTATATGCATGTTATGCTGTTTGATTCTTCCCATGTGGCACAGGCAGCAGTGACATAGATGGTGGATTAAAGATAACTATTCTGGACTGGTGATGGAGTTGTCTTAAAAATTAAATAGGTAGGATTTGTTTGGTAATGTACTGTATGAACAATACAACTTTCATTAAAACCCAAACTATTTTGAGATCGTCTATTTTTATTGTAATTGTGCACTTTATGTTCTCACTGCATAGCAGATTGGGACTGGGACTGTGCAGTCTTCCATCACAGAATAAAATAATGGTAACATTCTTGACATAAAAAGCACTATTTTATTCATTTGCCTGATTACACAGAGCCACAGTCTGAAATCCATCATTTATACAACAATGAAAATACTGCCAAAGTTCTAGCTTATGCCCAGCCTATTGAAGACAGTTATATTACTTAATAAGTGAAGCTTTGCAGCTGTATAGTGTTTAGTACCAAGATTACCAAACTAGAGAAAGGTGAGATACACTAAACAGAAATTGGTTTATTTATATCAGGATATAGACAGAATGTACAGATGTAATGTAAACTGTAGCTGGAATATCTTCATTTGTAGTCCTAAACCTTTGCTGGGTCAGTGTGGAATTATCACTTCTTCTCAGATAGGGTCAGGGTTTGGGTTCTGTTTGTCACTACTTGGACTACATTCAGGAATTAGAAAATGCTCTTGTGAGGCTGGAATAGTATTTGCATAGACATCACAGTCTTGACATAGAGCAGCTCCTGCTATCCCATCCGAGCTGTAAGCAGAGATCTGTGCATTTCACAGTGCTTCAGTACTTTCTCTCATTTTAAAATAATTTCTCAACATTATGTTTGAGGTTCCCTGCAGCCATCGTACATACTGTCTGAAAGAACAGCTCCAAAAAGTGTGAGAGCTATGGCTCCATAACTACAGTATTGGACACTACCACCATGCTGCAGAACATCAGAATCTGGTTTTGTTTCTATGCACTGCTGGGTCCTGGTTGGGCTGAAAGCCAGAGAGGAAAAGTGAATTAAGAGTCCATGGTTCCTCTGCTTCACATGGAGCCCAACAGCTAGTGCTTAGGGATCAAAGAGTTTAGATTGAGTAGCTGGACTTCCTCAGTAGCAAAACAGCACTAAGGCTCAAGGAATTAAAATGCTGAAGCTGGTGACATTCTCCCCCCTTCCTCATTACATACTGCAGGGAGAAATTTGAGCCAAGCTACCTGAACAGCTTTGGAAAAGAGGCCCAGGAAGCAGAATTAGGTCAGCAAATAAACACTCCCACACACTGCCACCATTACTCAGAAGCATTCACTGAGGACTTGTGTCAGTGTTTCCAGCTGAGCCATGTGGAAGAGTATTTCAGGACAACAAAGTAAAATGCTATCACTGCATTCTACAGCATGTGGCCATTAACTGTGGCCTAATTAATATAGGACCATCACTGTGTATCACTTAGTCATGCTGCCCAGTGCCCACCTCGTATTTCAGCATGGAAATATTTATATAAAAAACTATTCCCTGTGATAGAAGGGGATTGGAGGGAAAAAGGAGGGAGGAGAGAGAAAGCAAATGATCAAGAAGCTGCCACTCTACTTTCCTGCCCCCCAACCAAATTCATGTTACAGGCTTCAGTCTGTGTTCATCTCTTAATCCTAATCTTGTCACTCCTAATAGTATTTTTCCAGTTCCACCATTAATAGTGGTCTTTCTCCAAATACCCCTGCGCTATCCAACTACGTAAGTACTGCAAATTACTCCAGCTGAGCCTGCACCCGTGATCTCTTACAGCCAAAGTCAAGAATATTAAAGGAACATCAGTGCTACATTTAAATACTCAGAAAATGCCACAGTTCAGGAGACCTAGGCAACTTTAATACAGTCCCTTATTTATCAGTTTACAAATATCAGTCATATTTTTTCCTATAGGCAAAATTCAGCTTGAGGCAGATGCCAAACATTTTAGAATTTAAAGTGATTGGTTTCAGAAAGTTTTAGCCATCAAACACAAGGTCTTAGATGTAATCGGGCAACCTTCCTTATAGGCTACCAGCTACGCATAAGGCTTCCTGGCATGAGTTTGCTCGTTTGATTGCAACTACACATAAAGTAGAAGTCTTCATTGGAGCGGTCTGCAACAACACGTCTATGGCCTAACTACCAGGCCTAGCTAGCTTACTGCCTGGTAAAATAGAGTGGGATAACACTTTCCATTCCAACAGAAATTCCACGAGAACAAATACAATTGTGTTGCCCATTCACATACTTCAGTTACATCTGTCTGAAGTTCCTTGCTCCTCTTAGTTCTTGTTTAACACCTCTGCAAAATTGGCTACTTTGCTGCTGTCCTCACTTTCTTAAGTTTCTTTTTAACGTATAAATACATGAGAGCCATTACAGAACCTTGAGGTAATCTCCTGCTAGCTCTGTACATTGACTATTCACTCTATTTTCTGTCCCTAGTAAGTTCTCAGGCCTCCAACTCCATCCTTGACCCTCTGGAGCATAAGGATAATCTTTGTGACTTATACTTGGACAGCAAGTTTTGCAGATGAAGCAGTATTTTTTTTTTTTTTTTAAGAAGAAAGACAGTGACTAGTACAAGGTGAGGGTGGAAAAAGCAACTCTTTATCGTGTCAACTACAAGAACAAATAAAATTACAGAACCCAGTGAACTTAGTAAAAATGGTGAATTGTCAGTACTTGTCACCTCCTGAAATGCTACAACTGAACCAATTGTGTTTCTCTCCTCACCATTAAAGAGGAGAGTTTTCCATTCTATTGCATATTCCCCATGTTACGTTTTCACAACATGCTCCCAGCTGCTAGGGTTGCAAAAAGAGAGCTCACATGGGCAACTGTTACACAAGTGCAGTTCATTTCTGGGGAAAAAAAAAATCATTTTGCAGAGTTTTTAAATGCACCAAGAAAAGGTAATGCAATAGGACTGGGCCTTAATGCAAGTCAGAGTCACTGTGTGTAGAACACACGCTTCAGCTGGACATGGTGATACACAAGGTTGCTGTTTTTTCTTCAGAGACAGGTGTTGCTCAGAGTGGAAAAGAGCGCGTCTTTCATATTTCACTCTTCTACAAAAAACAAATTGTAAACATATTAGAAGTAGAAACACAATCCAAGTCAGTCTGGGATTCACAGATTAATGCCAAATCCAGATTAAGTGACCTGTGATAGCAAGGAAATTATGCGAAAGGTGCTCTCAGAATGGGAACCCTTTACAGGTCCAGATGCTCACTTTTTACAATTGATCAGGAAGGTTGCAAGCTTCTACTGAAGGTGTAATTGGGAGGGAGCACGGCACTGCCACTGACTCCATGCTTCTACAAGGATTACTGTGGTCCATAAGTGGTGGTCCAAGAAGCCCAAATAAATGCTCCTCTCTAGACCCCATTCACCATTATAGAGCTTTCAATTCAAAGTTTGATAAGGGGCCATGGTGAACCATACAAATGTCTGAGGATAGACAGTATCCATGGCTCCAAAAAGCTTGGAAACCATGGCGTTAAACAATTCCACAACAACACTGGTGGGGAGGCTTCACGGCTGATCACATCAAATCCCATTGGAACTGGTTTCAACATCTGCTTGCCCCTATGTAATTGGGCAGAAGTCACTTATTCATTTCTCAGTGATAAACTGCTCAGACTCTGGAAGACAGTAGACAGCATTTGTTCAAGTGGGTCCAAGAAAATTCTCTCCAGGCTAGATTGGTTGACCTTCAATCCCCTCCTGAAAAACACACTTGAACCAGAAACCACTCCACTAGGTAGCCTGGTCTCATTTTACACAAGGTTAGAGTCTATGTACCCCTCCCCACCTACCTGCATCTCATTGAAGGAACGTGGCAGTGCCACTCTTATGTGTCGACTCAGTAGCTTGGTGTGCTTGGAGCACTGCAACCGCTTCCTCAATCTCACAAAACAAAACAAAAGGTAGAGACTTTAGTCAGTCTGATATCGGCAGCTCTCCGCACAAGTAACATGATATCCGAGGCTCCTAACTGGACCCCAGTATAGATGCTCTTTCAAGAAATGAATTAGTTATCAGAGTTGCTATATTATAACAGTGGCCCTGGATTAGGTTAATTTTATTCAAAAACTCCACTGTCTTCTGATCCAGAAAGTCTTTCAGATACTGGGCAATTCTGCAATATGCCAAAGCATATAACCTGGGGTGGGAGGTATTCCCTCCACTAACTTGTTATAGTACAGAAAACCCACATCCCACACAACTGCTATCAGGATATTTGTCCCAGAAGCTTCTGATGATTTACTTTACAAGGAACAGCTCAGCCTCTTCTTCATATAGCCCTGCACAGCTGGCCACATTCACTGTGGGGCCTTTTGCCTTCTTCAGAAGCACTACTTAGGTACCAAGAGTCCAGACTCCTTTGTAGCTGAGCCAGTAGTCTGATTCCACCTGGCAAAGGCAAGCTGCTTGTTTTAAAAAGGGAGATGGCACAAGCAAATAATATTATTTTTAATAATATTCTGTCACTACTGGAAGCAGGAATAAAACTGATCAGTTCTCAGTGGGTCTGAGCAGCCAAGCATGAGGAAAAGCAGATTCTGCACAGAGACAGCATTTTAATGTCTGGACATTTAGAAGAGAGGTCATTCCTCAGAGCTTACACTTGTCAGATAAAAGTGGATCCTTCATCAGCCTGAGAGATTTAACATGTTCACTATTGTCCAGGCTCCTTTAAGAACTCCCTTTTACAGGAGGTATTGTACAGGACAGGTGAAGGCTCAGAGCATAGATCCAGACCTATGGTTTCTGACATGCATGAAAAGAAACTGCTCACAGCAGGATCTACTGCCTCAAAGTATGTTGCTCAGTGACAGCTAACAAAGTCACCAGGATTGTATGTTATTGCCAAGTGATTTGGGGGATGAAGACTGGGGAGATGCTGCTTTTGACTGGTTAGCACAAATAGGTCCCTACAGAATCTCCAGAAATCCAAGTCTCTGTGAACAAGAACCTTATAAACCAGCACCGATTCTGTAATCCCCAAAAAGAGATCACAGTAGTGAAAAAAAAGTCATTTTCTGGCAAGAAAGTTGCCTCCATCAGGAAGAATCAGCCCATCCTGTGCCCATCTCCTATCTAAACAGTTGGATCCCTTCTGCTTTCTGTGCTTTGCTAAAAAGTCAGCAGCCAATTTTCCACAAGCAGGCTCTGTTCAGGTGACCTCCAACTGTCTGAGAACAAAATGAACCAACAGCCATTCGTGCTCCGTTTGTCAGACTAAAATGAGCTGGAATAGCTGGGGATGTCAGTCAGGATTGATAGGCAGGGAAAGCCAGGCCAGCGCCTACCCACACTCTTCATTAGTTAGTCAGTCAGGGAATTAAGGATTTCAAATATTAAAAAGGCTTTGCACACACCATGTCTCAGTCCCTCTTAGGCCAAACAGTCAGACAGGCTAGTCTGCATCTTCTTCCTCTGAACACACCTGTGCTCTCCTTACTATGGGACATCCCATTCCTGCAAGCCACATGCTGGATCTGGGTCCCAACTTTTCCCAGTCCCTCATTTATCTGCCTGTCAGCTTTGCCAGCTCCTGGAAACACCAGTCCTATGTGCCAAGTCCAACTCCATGCACCTTTTCCCTGCAAAAAGGACTACAAACCAATGATCTCTTTATACAAGAAGTAAGCTAAACTATTACCCCCTCTTCTCTGCTTTTGTTCACATAGAATTATATCTTCACTAGAGGGATTTTTTTTTCTCTAACCTTTAGTTCGCTTGTTTCTAAACGATTAGCACATTTAAGCCACTTGCGAGCACTGGCTCGGGACTGTCCTCACTGGTTTGTTAGGTATTCTGAGCTAAATGAAGGAACAGTATCCTAGGGCAAGGACACTCAGAAAGGACAAGTCATTGCTGACCTTGCTCTGTCTCAATTCCAGCCTGTTTCTGCAGCACAGAATCATAGAAAAGTAGGGTTGGAAGGGACCTCAGGAAGGCATTGAGTTCAATCCCCTGCTCAAAGCAGGACCATCTCCAACTTGATCATTCCAGCCAAGGCTTTGTCAGGCTGGGCCTTAAAAACCTCCAAGGATGGAGGTTCCACCACCTCTCTGGTAACCCATTCCAGTGCTTCACCATCCTTCAAGGGAGAAAGTTTTTCCTAATATCTAATCTAAACCTCCCTGCTGCAACTTGAGACCATAACTTCTTGTTCTATCATCTTCCACCACTGAAAACAATCTAGCTCCATCCTCTTTGGAAACACCCTTCAGTCTTCTGTTCTACAGATTAAATAAGCCTAGTTCCCTCAGTCTCTCCTCATAAGTCATGTCCCCCAGTCCCATAACCATTTTCATTGCCTTCCACTGAACTCTCTCCAACTTTTCTGCATCCTTTCTGTAGTGGGGGCTCAAAACTGGACACAGTACTCCAGATGTGGCCTCACCAGTGCTGAATAGAGGGGAATAATTACTCCCCTCAATCTCCCCCAGCTTCTACCAATGCAGCTCAGTATGCTGTTAGCCTTCTTGGCAACAAGGGCACAACATCCTCTCAAACTATTTTTTTTCCCTTGAAAAACACCTCTGCTCTCAACTTCAAAAGAGCTGCTCCACCCTCTCCTTTCTCCATTGCTATGGGGAGGCAGGAGAAGGGGCAGCACAATTACTCGTGCCATGTATTTAATTTTGGGTCATTTCTGCTTCCTCTCTCCCCACTCTCCTCTTAGGACACTACTGCTTGCTTTTGTCTACAGCAGGCATTTACCGCGCTGGCCCATCCTCCTGCCCTGTTACTTCTCTGTGCACACATTCACATGTAGACTGCTGACACATCATACCTTGGAGCGGAGGGATTCTGGCGATTCCAGCAGCAGCAGCAGCTCAGAATTATCAATCTCTAGCAGCATCCCTGTGATCTTTCCAGCAAGCGAGGTGTGCATTGCATGAATGAGGGGATAGAGGCGTTCACCTGCTCACATTAACATCAACAGCAACTTTATATATTAGGGAAAACTCCCAAGTGATATCAAATCATTTAGATTTGTCAACAACCTCTTCCCCATTATGTCCCTCCTCCCCCAGCTGGGACTTCCAGCCCTGACCTCTCAGTATAGAGGCAGCCTGGGTGAAAGATCTCTTTTCCCCCCACCTCCCATTCTGTTATACAAAACTGACATTTTCCTGTTCATTAAATAACAGGTGAGAGAATCTGGGATGGAAACAATGGCTTACACTAGGCAGGAGCTGTGCGGGCTACTCCCCTGCCGCTCTTCCATCCCAACTTGTAACACCTGCTGCTATTTCAAGGCTGAAATCCCCACACAGAGAGCTGTACCAAAGCACCCCAGTCCTGAACAGAGCATGTGCCTACCAACAGTTTTTCCATTCCTTGACCAGGGACTGCAAATCTCTCTCTCTC